ATATATTTTATATTCCATTTACCTCTTATCTCTTATCTTTTACATGTGGCTATACAAACTATATATATGTACGAAATTCGCTGATATATGAAATAAAGCGATATAATAAATAAAATCTTTACAAAAGATGTAAATAGTCAATTATGACAGTTAACTATATTTATATTAAATATTGCAAATTATTAATCGTCAATACAGCTATTATCACAAAAAAATATTTCTTTTTTATAAACAAAGATCTGAAAACTGACGTATAAAAATTTGATTACTCAAGATTATACAAGATTTTCAATATTATAAACATAATTATTTTCTTATAAATAGAATAATTCTGCAAAAATAATTATGCAAAATTCTCTTCATTAAAAGAAGAATTATAGTCCGCAATTTCAGCCTGTATACTAATCGAACATCATTATAGTATTTATGTATACTTATCTTAAATATTATATATAAGTCATGGTTATACATATCAAAATATAATTTAAACAGAATATAGATAAGAATCTAATTTCGTTTTTGCGTTAGGAGGTGAGGTAAAAGGGGAAAACCAAGCTATCGAGAATCTTCCAAAAACCGCTTGAATCGATTTCCATCTACTATTGCGAACCCATCGAGCTTCCTCCTTTTTAAGTTGTTCTATACCCTGCAAAAGATATAATACAATAAATATAAATCGCAATTTTTTTTATATACGCACAAGAAATAATAATTGTTTTATATACGTACAGTTTCATCATACCAAATAGCTTGCAGTTGCGTGCCTAACATTACAGCAGTAAAAATGGCAAATAAAAGTGCTTCGAATGCTAGAAATAACAATAACACCACCGTTGCTGGTGGATTGAACGTGGAACATTCTCTCCATTCTTGTCTGACGCACATAGTAAATTGTTGTACACACAGAAATAGAGAATGCAATGATATACCCGCTATATAAAACTAAAATAAAATGGTACAAGAAAAGTATATTTAAGATATTTTACAAAATATATTCAATATATTTAAATATTATAATTAATATTAGAATCATTAATTTGATTATTTTTTTGTAAAAGCCTAAATCGTAACATGTGCATGCGCTTTATAAAAATACTCACAGTAAAAAGTACAAAGTATTTTTGATTATTTTCCCCTACACAATTATTAACCCATGGACAATGGTGATCCATTTTCCTGATGCATCTACAATAGCACAATGTAATTACCTTGCTATATTACAAACACAAATTTGACTTTTTTGTTATTACCTTTGGCAAACAGAGCAATGATGAGCTCTGTCGGGCTTAATAGAACAACATTTTGGACACTTAAAAATAACCTGTCCGTCTCTAAATCCCATTTGTTGAATCATCTCTTTTGTTGCATTGCCTTTCGGCACCGCACCCTGCATAAAAACAAAATATCAGTTTTTAAAAAATGTTTAACTTATGTTACATAATATAAGCTCAAGCAATAAATTAGATTTCAGCGTTATCTTAATTACTGGATCTGTAAACATGGTTCTTAGATGTGACGCAAAAGCCAGGAATGCTAGAGATTGGAAAATGGCCATATTTAAACTGGAATACAATGTATTTATTGTAGGAATAAGAATCACTGCCATCACTACGAATTCTGCATAGATTATCAATAGCCATGTTAATACCGCACATATGATTCCACATATATCCTATAAATATAGATACATTATGTTAAAAATATTATAACAATGTTAGAACAACCTTGTCAAACTGTGATTAACTTAATTGATAATTAATCAGCAAAATTGCTAATTATATATAAGCCCTTCCTAATCTAATCTTTTGATATATCGCAAAAAATAAAAGGATTTATTATCTCATTTTACATTAATAGAACGATACAAGTATTACTGATAAGTTAATTGTCACTTAAGTTAATCAAGATCCTTAAAAAATATCAGAAATCATATATTCATAAAACTTTACCTTAATACACCAGAGTTTTCCACCACAGCATCTATTATGAAAGTCTTTCTCCCTGTAAAAGGTCATGTAATCGCAATCCATCGTTGAAACTGCCGTTCACTGAATTATATTTTTTATAAGACATAAGGGTAATCACTGATACTTCTACCTTTGTACACACGAAAATTTACAATCACATACCTGAAAAAAAAAAAAGATACTGATGTTGCAATAATGTCAACCAGGCACTTGAAATAACACTTTTTATGC